AGGGTAGCTAATCCTCTCCATCCACCTTTGCTTCCAACGGATCTCTTCACTTGGACTGGTCAGGATAGCTTGATAGAACATGAGAACATGCCATCTTGAGCTTCATACCTCTTCTTCTTCAAGAGACTAGAACTGGATGCACATGTCTTTGCGGTTTGATTTTGAGTTGAGGAGAGAGCTCTAATCATGCGGAAGCTTCAAGCTCAAGTTCTAATGAACCTGGCTCTGATACCATGTTAGTTTTTAAGAGATCTAGCAACTCTGGTTGTGTATGTGAGAGAGTATAAAACGAGTTTAATGTTTGTTTGGTGAAGAAAGAAATCTGATGACTAAACAAGTATGAACTATGATCAGAAACAAGAGTCTTTGAGAGATTTAAGAGTGTATAGGTTTAAGAGTTTAAAAAAGGGATAGTCTAAAGAGAATCTGATCAAGAACACACTGTTTTTATTTCTGAAGGAGGAGAGGCAATGCCTCCTCACTCTCTTAACTTGTTTACACACGCCTACAGCTTGCTTTTATAAGAATTACATTCTGAACTCATTAAACCTACATCTAATGGTTCTAATTAACTAAAGAAGATGGATGGCTAGGATGAGAGATGAATGGTCTTGGTCTTTAGTCTTTGATTGGACTAAAGGAAAGGCTGAGATGCTCCCATTTGAATTGTTTTGAAATGTGTGGCAAGGATGAGCTCTTGTATACAAATGCTGTAAGTTAAAGGCTTACTTTAACTTTCCAGCATGTCCCTTATCTCTTTAGATGCTCTCAGCATATTCATTTAGCATACAAGAAGCTCCTCTGGCTTTGCCCCAACGGTCATAATATTCAAACCAACTCGCCCACACCTTAGCTTCTTCTTTCTTGCTGGTTTGTTTCTTGCCTTGTGTCACAAGTTCCTTGTGACCCAGGATATCTCAATAGTGATCACTTTTTTCAATAGTGATCACTTTTTTCAATAGTGATCTCAATAGTGACCAAACCCTATTTATGCACAATCTCAAATGGTCACACTAGAAAGGAGTTTTAAGCATCTTAGGGCTACATTGGTCTTGTACGGATCCGTACGGTCCGAGTACATCCGTCCGTACCAAATCCGTACAAGCCCTAACCCTAAGTTTGCACACTACTCCATCTCTTCCCAAATGGTGTCAAAGTCACTCCTTGACTTGACCCTAACCTTGCACCAGCCTTAGATCACTTCTTGACCTTCTTAGATACTCCTTAGCTCTTCTATAGCTTCCCGGAGATCAAACCCTAATCTTGCACAAGACCTTTACTTCATCCAATCTCATCTCAATACCATTTCTCTTCTTCAAGTTAACACTCCCCCTCAAGCTTGACTCTAGTGATCCTAAGTCAAGTTTGGAACCTTGAAGAACTCCCTCATTAAAAACCTTATGAGAGAAAACCCTCCTTAGGGATAAAACCCTCATAAGGAAAAGAGTAGAGCCTTACAAGACCTAGGGATTGGCCAGTGGGTCATTGTGTTCTCATCAGTGTGATGGACACACAAAGACCCTGGATCATGGCCCTCATGTGATTCCATAGACGACATCACTTTCCTTAGCACACACTCAACTCCTTGTGTGCATCCTCCATACTGATCTTGGTCTCTCCCCCTTTCACCTAACCTTCTTGTTAGGTTAAGGTCTCGGACAACCAGATCACACTACTCCACTATCAAGTCTTATGTGAGTCTTGGTTGCTTCTTCTTCTAGGATAACCACCATGCTTCTGGAACTATGTGAGAACTCATCACTAACTCTCCAACCACCTCAACACTTGAAGCCGCATTGGAGATTGCTTCTTCCTTCTCTACATTGCTTCCTAAACCCTGGTTGCTTCTCCTTTTGAATAACACCAAACTCTAGGATCACAAGAAGCTTCTCAACAATATCCTTCTCTCATCAAGCAAACTCCAAGTAAGTACATCCTTACCTTTGTAAATATTTAGTTCTTTCATCTCTATTTTCTCTTTTGTTCTCTCTTCCAAGTTTACTCTCACACAAGAGACTGTGTGAAGTAAGTTTGGGGGAGAGTCTACTATATCATATTGTGTGTTGTTTTGTTTACTTGTCATGCATTGCATTGTACATGTTTATTTGCAAAGAAAACCAAAAAAAATTTGAAAATTTTCGAAAAACACAAAACAAGCATTTAGATTAGTATGTTGTTTCATTTGCATCTTTAGGATTGAGTCTAGAAGCATATAGATTGCATTCATGCATTGGAAGCTAACATTGTAAGGTCACATGCCTAGAACTCAAGATGACACCCTAGCTAATCATAGCAAGTAGCTTAAGCACCTCTTTAAAAGCTGCATGCTTCGAGCCTTGAAAACTCTTCTTGAAACATGTTGCTTGCTTAATGTTGACATTTTTCTTGAAGCCAACTCCAAACTGAATAGAAGTTTAATGAACTTAATTATCTCTTGCTTATGGTCACTTTCATACTTTATCATGGATCTCACACACAACATTTGGGTATCTTTATCCATTATACCATTCTTTGATAACCCAAATGGCACCCCCTACCCTTTAACCCTTGCCTTTCCTTGAAGCCAACATTGTATTTGCTTGAGTGAGGCCTCTTATTGATAGCTTTTCATGTGCAAAATCTTTAGAGTATTGGGAACGACATTAGTTTGTTCTCATCTTTGACTAGCTATAGGACCTCATTTGAGCTAGCATTTAGAATGGAAAGTGTGATATTGTAATACAAAGAGTTGATATTGGGTTTTAAGGCGAGAAATAAGTGAAAGGAATGAACCAAGGAGTGAAAAAAGAAGGAAAACCACTAGGGACCAAAAGAAAATAAAGAAAAGGCTGTAGAATCATCAAGTAAAAACATACCAGCATAAAGAAAAGCAAAAGAGTCAAGAAATGATTTGGGGAAAGCAAAAGAATAATAAGAATAGAGCTTAAGTAAAAGAGTAAAAGAAAAAGTCTCTAGTTGGTTCAAAGAAAAAAAAAAGAGAGAGAGTTCATTGGATAAGGGAGGAGGAGAGTGATCTTAAAAGTATTTGGGATGAAAAAGAAATGGATTAACACCAAGAGAAATGGTAGAGTTGAAAAATGTCTAGTAAAAGGGTAGAATGATGAGAACAAAACAATGTATGCATGAATTGCTCCTTTTCTTAGATAAATTTTGCATAATGTTCAATCTCTTTTTCTTGAGTGTAAGTCACTGTAAAAAGAATGTAAATGAGTCATTCTTCTTTTCACATTAAGCCTTTTTACCTACCAAGCCAAGTGATTGAGATCAAGTTTCCATTTGCAAAAATTCACCTAGTTAGCTTATGCTTAAATTAATGTGAGAGTTGGTTGAAAAGATTTGTTAGTTGGTGAGCATTGCAACTTGTGTAAAGGCATAAGTCTTGATAGGCCTTGAGAAGATAGAGTGCAATAGAGAGTTTGCTCATGTTATTTGCTATGTTTGTCTAGGATGTGATATTGAAGATTAGGAAGTGTTCTTTTAGTTATGAGCTCCCATTTACAAACCTCTCCTCCTTAGTTCTTAAAAGTTTACTTGAGGACAAGTAAATGACTAGTGTGGGAGTTTATATCTTGCATATTTTCATTGTTTTGATCATCTATTCTTGTACATTTTGATCATTTAGAATAGCATTTAGATATGTTTAGGTTGCATTACATTATATAAGTCCTTATCAGGTGAAGATGCCAAATGGTGACTTTTGAGCATTTAGAGATGTTTTGGAGGCAAAATTGATGTTTTGGAGTTTTTTCACGGGGTTCCAAGAGTCCCAGCGGTCAGACGGAGCGGTTTCGAGCAGACACTGTGACCATAAACAGTTGGGAAATAACCCAAGTCCCTGTCCAATTTCTGGACTCTGCAACGGCCATGAGACGAAGTTGGGAAACAACTGAGCGCCACAGCAGCCTAGTGGAGTTGTTTTAAAAAACAGCTGCGAGCGTTCAGAAAGTCAACATACGAAGTTTGTATAAATACTTTGTAAACCTAATTTCAGTACTTATTTTGTTTTCTCTCTAAACACAAATATTTTGAGGGAAGCTTGAATCTTTAGTAATCTAATCTTTCTTTCTTTGAGTAATTTGAGTTTATCTCATCTTCTTAACATGATTAGTCATGAATCCATCATGGATTTAATGTTAAACATGGTGATTAGTGAGTAGACTACTTTGTGATTCATAGTTTAGATGGATTAGGGTGATTAAATGGATATTTAGGATGTTCTTTGTTAGATTAACATAGATATCTATGCTTGCTAAGTGATCTTAATACTAGATTAGCCTTGATCAAGTTAATTTAGAACCTAAGATTTACATGCCTACAATGTGTTTGTTAAAATGCTTGACTGAGCTTAGTGTTGCTCTAGCTTGATAAACCAAAGGCATTTGATGTTTAAATTGCTAGATGGTTATTAAACTTAGCATTGTTGCTTGTTTGATAATATTAGGCCAAAGACATTTAATGCTTAGTACTTGATTACAAAGGGATTATTATCATGACAATTGATTAATTTACTTGTATGAATTCTATATCTATAGACTTGGTGATTGTGTTGCTTGAACATCTTAGATTGAAGCTTGGTCATCATATATCAATCATCTTTACCTATCTATTGAAGCTTGGTCATCCTATATCAATCATCTTTACCTATCCATCTGTATTACTTGATTGAAATCTTTAGTTATTTACATTACTTGTTCTTGTCACTTGTTTCTCATCAACTATATTGATTACATTTAGATTAAGCTTTAATTTGTATTTTCTTTGATTCAAAACAATTTAGGATTGGATTGACAATATTAAATACTACATTGATTTAAGTTAGGAACCTAAAAATTTTCTTATTAAATTTGCACCAGCACAAGAGAGACCGCAACCTTACTCATACTAATCGGTGGAAAAACAAATTTACAAAAGTGAAAAAACTGATATTTGTTATCGACCAAACGAATGGAGATTACTGGATTACCATTACTAAGTAAAGTTTTTCTTTTGTTAATTGAGTAGTGATACTTAAATAGTATTTGTATTACATACTTGAAAAATCACATTTATAAGTTATAACAACAAAACAATGCTATTTAATCAAGGACTTTATAAAAGAAAGTTGAAAAATAAAATTCAAACCAGAAAAAAAAACATTTGTGTGGCGCCAGTCCTGGCAGTAAAAGTTGTTTCTTCAAACCCAACTCCTTAAAAGACAGCCGCTGACAAAAACAAATCCATCAGTGGTTTAGTATCACGAACTTTAATGGAATCGTGGAGATTGAAATCAGAAGAAAAAAATCAATCACATCAAACCAATTAAACCAACCACGAATGTTTTTTTCTCCTTCTAAATTTCCCGGTTTACCTGAACGAGAGAAGAGCCAGAGGATTATAACAGAGAGCACAAGAACAAGAGGAATGAAATGGACGATGTATTCAGCAGATCTCGATCGCGACTTCTCTATCTTACCCGATTGAGAACTCGGGTCGTACCTTGGCAAATGCAGCTCCGCATCTTCAACAAGTCTAACACTCTGAGATCGACTCATAGACCGTGAGTGTGACGGCCTTGTAAGCTTCGCCTGGGAAAATTCATCAGACACTCTCGAGCCACTCGCGGATCTACGCATCTCTCTCCTTAAACGCAACTCGCAAGTCAAATGGTGGAAACTTTTTAACGCACAAGAACGCATTTAAATACTCTCCTCACCTCAGATTTGTCCAGCAGAGAGTCAACGCTCTTCTCTTCTTTTTTTTTTTTTTAATTTGTAACCGACACAAGAGCAACACCCAATCTTTCGAAATGGTGAAACCATGTGGTGTCTTTCCCTATGATCCTTCGTCTCTCTATCTTCGATCGAGATTCATTTGATTACTATAGATTATCAGGTTCTTAAGCAGTGGTCCAGCATGGTTACAGGCCAGCAAAATGGTAACAAAGATAATCTAATTCACAGGGCCGGATCCGGGGACAGCATAATGAAACATTGCCAATATTCCCCAAAATTTTAGTGTTTTTTATATAGGTAAAAGCTCCCAAATTATGGAAAAAAAATTTATAGAACTTTTTAAGAAATGTTTATGACCCCAAAACCTCATCATCCCGCCTAGCTTATTTCAGACCACAACGTCTATCTTCTTCATCGCCTTGAAGTGTTTGAAAAAGTCACCAAGTTCCCCACATTTGCATTACATACAGATCAGCAGTAGTCAACACGGTTATATCAATCGTTACACAACGTAAATTTGCACCCTATCTGATGGATCTGCCTCCCTAACTGTAATGTCAGTAATACGTTGCTCGGGCGAGACGAGTTAGGCCCTGATTCCTTCCTATAGCATTACCCTGGCTAGCTTCAATCTATCTCCTGCCCTAGAATTTTTGAGATAACCGTAGGAAGTAGATTACTTCCCCTCACAAAGCCCATGAGAAAGCATTTTTGGTCCATTAGAGGATGGCTCAGCTAGCGAGGATCGGCTCGGCGCGTGACTGCTTTTAGCCGAATAAAGTCGTTGTCCGCTTTGACGACTAACAACGAGAGAGAGAGACGGCTTAATGAGCCTCGTCTTTCAGGCTGCGTGGAAGGCCCATTACGAGAAGCCCTCTACTGCGAACCGACCTAAGTTAAATGAGAGAAGGACTCACTATAAAAAAGAGGCGAAAGACAACGAGAAGAGAATCCGAAATTAAGCACATACGCAAAGGCCGCTAGAACTAGGGTTTTTACTTATCTTTACTCTTCGACTTGTATTTTCCCGGCTAAGCTTCCAAGCAACACCTTGTTTCTCCATCATTTCTCTACTTGTAAACCGATAACACTCTTTGACATAATAAATAGCCTTCGAAATAACCCACAATCAAAATCTGTCTACTTCCAGTACAACACCATTTTTAGATCAAACAATAACCAGGTCAAAGTATTTAAAGTTAATGGACTTTTCTTCACTCTCGTCAGAATAGACCCTAAAATTTAGAGGAGCATAAACTATTTATAAAATATTTCAACTAATTATTTTTTTGAAACTATGTCTATCTAATTTTCTTCAAAACAAATTGGGAGCCAAAGTAATATTTTATTCGACTTTTTCCAGGACCCGCCATGACTAGAAAATTTTTGGGAGCCAAGGTAATATTTCATTCGACTTTTTCCAGGACCCCCCCTGACTGTCATGTCTTCGAACACTGCCTCAGCCAGTTCAACCTTTTTGGCTTTCATGTACCCTGCGATCATCGCAGTCCACGCCATGACACATCATCCATTTCAACCTTCTTGTCAAAGTATTACATGTTTTATTATAACATAACATCTAACAATTAGGGGTGGGCATAAATACTTGATATTTGGCTTGTATTCGCTACTTGATTCGGTTTGGTTTGAAAAAATAAGTATTTGATACAATCAAGTCGAGTAACAAGTAAACAGATTTAATTACTCGCAAATAAAAGTCCAATATCAAGTTTATTTTTATTTTTAATTACTTGACTTGTTACTCGGTTTGTTACTTGTTATCATATACTTGTCACATTATTTGTTATATATTACTTGATTTATTAAATACTTGATATCCATTTTATTAGTTAATAAAATTTATGTATTACATTTTATTGGTGACTATAATTACTTGTTATTTACCTTTTATTTGTTACTTAATAGGTACATAATCTTTAAAGATTAGTATTTGTTCTGATCAAAATAAATATTAAGTAATCTATTTAAACCACTTGTAAGTACACAATCAATATTAAATAAAATTAATTACTTGATGTTGTTTTCTTTGTTATTTATGTTTGTTAATAAACAAAGATATCAATACCATTAAAACAGAAACATTTTGTTTAATGATTTTTTAATGTTTTTCAATTATACCCTTATTTGTATGAACAAAATTAATTTTTTATTAATGGCAATTTTGTATTTTTTGGGCCTAAAAACTATATACTAATGGTTTTATTAATGGGTCAAAGTTACCTTCTAATTATTTCTGAACTTTTTTCAAAAAATAAACTCATCAGCCTTAATTGGTGTAGTTAGAGCTCGGAATTTTGATATTAGCCGCGAGTCCTACCCCGTTTGACCCGCCACAAAACGGATCGATCGATTTAAAAAAATTAAGTTGCAAGTGCAGGTGCAGGTCAAGTGTATTTTATGCGGGACAGGTGTGGATTGTTCTAATTTCAATTGCAGGTACCATGTAGTCCGCAAAATTAGAATTTTCTTTTTAAGTTTATTTTTCAAAAATATACTAAATTTCCTTAAAATAAGTTTTTTTTAAAAGTATTAAAAATTTAATTAAAAATATACTATTTAATTTTACCTTTTAGAAAAAAATAAAAAAGTAATTATTTTTATTATTTAATAATTATCCGCGGATCCCGTGGATTACCCACAAAATTAAGTGGAACGGATAGGGATAAAATTTATTTTTTTTGCAGGTCAGACGGATTAGGTGGGCCGAGTTTGACCCGCTTTCCAGCACCAGGCATAGTTAGTTGATATTATTTTCTCAAAATAAAATTACATAATTACATAAAACACATTTACTTAGATATTGATGATACAAATAAATTAAAATCTGCATTAATTTTAAGAAGTTATATTAGATAGTGACATTTTATATCATCAAAGCAAAAGACTTATCGATCCATCTGTAGATGAAACAATAAAACTGGTATCCGCGCTTTTTAAGCGCAGTTCAAAATCTAGTATTTTCCTTAATCATAGTAAAATAACTTATTTTTATTTTTATTTTCATAAGTACATCAAACATAAGTGCTATATTTATATAAACATCTTGAAATTTTCCTTTTTTATGTAGTCTATTTTTCGAATGACTTAAATACAAGAAAACAATAAAATATTATTTATATAATAAATTTATATCTTCAAATTCTAATGAATTATTAAATAATTTACTAGTAATTATGAATAAATTTGTAGATAATTTACAAGTAAGAAGTAATAGAACAAATCAAGTAATTTACACAATTTTTTGCAAGTACTTGAAACTCCAAGTATTCGTTTTTAATAAACCAAATACAAGTCGAAATATTTACTACTCGTACAAACCAAACCGAGTACTAAGAATATCAAAAATACCGAGTACTCAGTTTGGGTCCACCTTTACTAACATGTTTGTTTGTCTGATATATGAAAATATATGACAGAGTGAACTCAAAGAAGACTCGAAACATATTAACATTAGAACTGTCTGTCTAAAACATGTTTCATAAATAAGAAAACTACAGACGGCTAGAAAGACCAAGTGGAAAACCCAAAACAAAAAGAGTATTGTTTCAAAGGTTAAAAGACCGGTCAGGCATAAGTTTTGCAGAAAATCTAAGAACTGGCGACAGCTAACAATTTACACCTGACAACAACATACAGGCAAACCCTCGCATGAGATACTTAAGGAAACCGCACGAGTTTACAAGTTTCCATGGAGGGATCTTACTTGCCCCCAAGAGATGGGAACTGAGCAGTATCTCCAATAGCAAGCGCAGCTTCACTACGGTAACCATCAAATCCCCCACCAGAAACACCTCCACGGTCACGACCACCACGTCCCCTTCCACGACCACCACGACCTCCTCGGTAGTAGTTCTCACCCTCAGCTGGTTTCAGAAACTCATTAATATTCACAGCCTGCAAAAACACACATCCATAAGTAAACTTATTGACTTCTACAAACCGTTTGATCCGGACAATGAAAGTAAACCTTCTTAGCCTTCTCTTCCTTGTCATCTTTTCGTTTGTCCTTATCAGAACCCTGAAAGATAGATCGAAAGTAAGGTTCAGAACCGATTAAGACTGTTTCTAGTCGATAAAAGGAGACATGTCTACCAGCTTGATGAAGATTTCATCGTTAGACTTCTTCTTGTTTGAGAGTTGCTGCATTGATTCAAACACTTTAGTATCAACTTTCCTCTCAGAGGTGGTCTGAGAGTGAAGAGCCTTTCTCTTTTCCTCAAGTATTTTCTCATACTCGTCCAAAGTCATTTCCTACGAAAACACAAGCCAATAAGCATTCAACGAGAATAAAAAGAAGCGGAGACAAGCGTAAGTTCAGTTCCATGTCCTATTATAGCAACCTGACATCTCTTTTAATTCCTTTGTTTACCTTATCCTCAGGCTCTTTCTGCTGCTCCACTTCAGCAGGGTTCTCCTTAGCATCAGCAGCAACCTCATCACCAGCAGGCTTCTCAGTCTCAGCACCAGTGCCTTCTTCAGTCTCCCTAAAAGAGACAAAGAGCTTCTTATTTGGTCTAAATTTACAAATCACTACTATCATTATAAAACACCAGAAATGCTTACACAACAAGAACTTCTTCTCCTGGTGTTCCCCAATTTCCACGACCAGCTCCTTCCCTTTTGAAGTCACCCCTTCACTCAAAACATAAACTTTAACCTTAAGAGATCAACTTAAATAGTAGAGTACGCAACATCAACAACAACAAAAGAATGAGGTAAAGACAAACAGACCCTCTGCCAGTTCCACTACGACGCTCGAAAGTCCTTCGAGGACCTTCACCTTCACCAGCTTCACCACGTCGACCACCACCACGAGGAGCACCGCCATATACACTACGTTTCTCATAGAAAGGCTTTGAAACGCCTCCTTCCTCAGAGGGCTTACTGTATGCCCCTGAGTATCCATCGTTACCATCACCGCCTCTAAAATCACGGTTGTAACCACCACGACCACGGCTAAATCCACGGCCACGTGGAGCATCACTCCTAACCTCTCTCACTAATCAACATCATTAAAAATACAATCAGATACCACGAAATCAAATAGATATGAAAGTTTTATAATTTGCTAATCGTGTTAAGCGAATGGTACCAGCTTGGGGAGGAGGAAGCTGCTTCGACGGAGCAGATGACTTAGTAGACACGGAGGAACCAGGTGCAGGTTTCTTGGGCTTATTATCAGCAGCGATGGAGACGGCGAGCTGGCTCGGATCCTCGGCATCGTCACCCAACAGATCAAAAGGGTTCAAAGTTGCCATATCTTCAAATCAATCCAATTGATTACAGCCCTTTTTTTTTCTTACCAAAATAGGCACACAGACAGAACACAACTAGTAATCAAGTGAAGCCATGAATTAACAGACAGATCTAAAGAAAAAAAAAAAAAAAGACGAAATGGTATTATTAGGACAGGAACTTAAGTTGGTGAGAGAAAATGTAGTGGAAAGAAGATAAAATGTGGCAATTTTTGGAGTGGCGGCTGAGCAAACCTAAAGAGATAGTTCTAGGCCTCGTCAATTTATACGGATAGGAACCGACCTGAAACCGACCTGAAACCGACCTGAAAAAGTGTGGTTCGAATAGGAACCGAACAGATCATTTTATCCTAATGGTTTTTGTCGTGGAAAATAGATCTTGGATCCAACTCGACCCGAATCCTAAATTTGATAGGTACTTGAAATATCCAAAAATTTTAGTATATATTATGTCCATATATGTGTTTTAGTATATTTTTGGTATTATGAGTAGTTTTTAAATTTCGAATTTTGGATTTTCGGATATAATTTTAGGTTTCAACTAAAATTTTAGATTTTTAAAAAAATTTGGATAATTAGATAAAATTTTGGATAAATTTTGAATATTTTATATCTTCGGGTCAGATTTTAGATCAAATTTCAGATTTTTAGGTATTTAAATATATTTAAGTACTTTTTGTGTGTTTTGGGTATTTTTTTTAGACTAGATCCGACAGGATCCGAACCGAACCCAACACAAAACTGAACTGAACCCGAATCGATAAATTCTAATTATTTTATTAGGTCCAACTATGTAAGACCTGAACCAACTCGGATCTGCTATGATCCGAACTGAATTCGAACTAGTTATCCTATTGGATCTAAACATCTAAGACCCGAATGACCTGGATTCGATAAGACCCGATAGAACCCGATCCGAGGTTCCAATAGATAGTTCAGTGTTAACTAACTTTTTTTATTGATTATTCTATTCTTGTCTGAATTCATCGATCATCTCACGTTTGAGTAATTGAATAATATTTTGATGTCAAAAAAAGAGAACATCAAAGTTCTAAGTGTATGATTCTAGTCACAAAGATTTTATAATACAAATATCTCTCTCTCTTTTGATATATCAATTAAATATAATAATGGCAATAGTTAGACATACAAAAAATATGTTTTTTCTCTTATGCTAAAGACTTAAAAATCATTTAAATAAACATGGCGTATCAAAGTTAAGATCATTCACTTGTGGATGAATTTTAACAAAGAATTCAGAAAAAACATTAAAATGATTTCGTAGATAAAGAAGTAGATAATTATTATTACTAATTTATATTTTAAATGGGAAAGTCATTTTTACTAAGATTTGTGTTTTTTTCCTTAAATATATTTTAATGTTTTCCATAACTACTAATTCTACTAAATATTTTCATGGTACTTTATTATTATTTTTAACTGATCTACAGAAACCTTTTAATGTTCAAACATGTGAAAAGAATTCATGCTTCAATTGAATCAAATCTGATCGAAAATATGAAGACAATCTAGACAACGTTCATGCATGGTCGTAAAAGTTATTGATGATACTTAAAAAGTTGATTTAGTAATTTAATATTTATTTAAATTAAAAGTTATGTTTATCAGATTATACAAAACAAGTTTTACTTTTTTCGTTGACAAATATGTGTGCTAATATTTAGTTATTTAATAATATGATGATATTATTACTATTTTCATATTTTATTTCTGAAAATTGTTATTATTATTAATTTAATGTGTTTATTAATTATTTAAAATATTTTAAAATAGTCTATTTTAAAACCGAAATATTTTTCTGATTTATTAAGGTTGGTATATTATCATATTAGTTTTTTGGTGTAAAACCGAAAGAACCGAAAACAAACGGTATATATACCGAACCCAAACAAAGTTTACTGGTTTTAATATTGTAGTTTGTTTTATAAACCAAAATACCAAAAAATCAAAAAACCAAACCAAACCAAAATCCAGATTGAACACCCTTACTACTACATCATAATTTTCTGAATTTTTTGTTCTTAAGAAGTAGTTAATCAATAGAGATATCATTAATATTACTGAAGTATATGAACTAAATGTTTCACCCGCATCTTATCCATGCAACATAATAAGATTCTCTTTGCTAACTTTCCGATGAAGATTATTATCATTTAGGATCTGGTTAGAACTTCCATTATCAATATGAATTTCAATGTATCAATGCTGAATATAGATTGAACTTTTAATACTACAAAAAAAAAAGTAATGCCTACAAACAATGTTGATGTTGATATCCAACCTTTGTTTTTGTGCATTATATGTGATTAAAGCATGCCAACGCTATTTTTTTCGATTTTTATCCCTACACAAGGTGCGGGTGAGTCACCTAGTTTCATTAAAATCCAATGAATTTACAGGTGCTAAAAACGAAAAAGCCCAACAAATCGCATTATTAGCCCAACAGCTTCGAATGTTAGTTAATTAATCATATGCTTTTTGTGGACCGTTCTATTGTAGTACTTTAATCGGTTTGGATTCACTAACTTTTTGCTATTGGTTTGTCGTTTAAATATCATCTCACTAGATAAGTAAAGACATTAGTTAGGGTTTAGATTTCAGTTCAGAATTTAATTTTCTACCTATACATTTTGATGGATAGTTTAATATTTGGATTTATTGATCTTCACTATATTGAATGCTTTATGGTTTTCAGTATTATCATCTTATTAAATAACTACTCCATCCGTTTCATATTAAGTATCGTTGTAGAGAACTTTTATGCGTTACAAAATAAGTATCGTTTTCGGTTTTCAATACAAAATTTATTAATCTTAGGTGTAATTTCTTTTTTATTGGTTAAAATATGGTTATGTGTATGGGTAATTGTATTTTTATATAGGAAATATGAAAAATTAATTGTTTCTTTAATCCGCGTGCACAGCTGTAGAGTGACACTTATAATGAAACAAAGGGAACATGATACAGTATTATGTTTAGAATTCACTCACTGATATTTTTGAGCCGACACTCATTTAATTTTCAGATTTAATTTTTTAGATTTTGAATGTTAAAACCACTCATCTAAATTTATTTCGGATAAAAACTCCATAAGCTAAATATTGAATGAAAAACCTTCAATCTAACTATATTTAATGGCTTAAATTATTTGTTTACGGTGTCAATCAAAATTACCAGTATTATCCATAAATCTTTAATTTAGAAAATTTTACACCTTGATCAAAAAAAAAAAATTTACACTAAATAAATATAGTTGAAAGGTTTACCACTAAATTTTTTAAAAAATCCAAAAAATCATATTACTCATTGAATTGTTTTTTTTTAAACTTAATTCACTCATTTAGTTTTCAGATTTACTTTTTCTATATATCTTTTTATGGATTTTCTAATTGAGTATTAATCAAATTAAAGTTAACTAATAATGTACCAGAATTTATGATATTTGTTATTCTGATTGTCAATTTAATTAAGTTAACTAATTATGTACGAGAATTTAAGAACATCTTTTATGATTGTGTAAAACGTTGTTTTATCAAAGAAATAATGTATAAGGCTAGTTGTGAGCCCCACATATTTATCCAAACTCGGAGTTGTCAATAAAAAAGTTAATTAATAATGTAGATGATGGATGTAACATGTTTACCTATGCATATATTATGCTGGTCAAAACAAAACTGCCCTTTAGATTTCAACTTTCAAATGTTGTTTATCATGTTTTCAACTTTTACTATCGTAGGGCGTTAGATCTAAATTTTTGTTTAACTCCATCCATTTCACAAAAAATGTCGTTTAGAAATTTCTCACACAGATTTTTTTTTTTGGAATTAGTTATATTTTTATTAATTAAACATATTTAACCAATAAAATTCTTATAAACTAAAATTAGTTATAAAATCAAAATATTCATAATTAATATTTAGCTCAAAATTGTATTAAAATTTTAAAGTGACACTCTGTATATAACATGAAAAAATGTTCAAATGATAATGCATCCGTTTCATAAAGAAATTGACGCATAGCACATAGATTAAGATATCAATAAATTATACTAATGTACCTCTATTTATTATATAATTATTTAAACGAAAATTATTTAACTAAACATCTATTATTATTTAAAAAGGTAAAAATATATTTAATATGAAAATTTTATTGAGAATATAAAATAAAACTTATTTTAAAACAAAATCGAAAAGCTAAAAATGACATTTTTTTATGAAACAGAGGGAATATTTATTTAGAAACAGAAAGAGTATTAGACTATTACTATTATTTTTTTCTTCTTTTAATAATTATCATATATACAGAATATTGAAAGGAAATATTTTTTAATGTAGTTATATACTATCTATACTATTATTTGCGAAGTGATTTTTCGCAACGGAGCTCCCACGTTAAAAGTTAGAGTGGTTAATATCGTTTATACCCTTAATGAATAAAATATATAAATCAGCCAAAAATAAAAACAATTTAATACTTATTTGATTAGATAAATTATTTAAATTAATAATAATGATAAGAATTATCCATAATCTAAATATATATTTAAAAATAAAAAGATAATTCCTATATAGATATTCTGTTGTTATCCGGAAAATAAAATAATAATGATAACAATTATCCATAATTTAAATATATATTTAAAAATAAAAAGATAATTTCTATATTGATATTGTGTTGTTATCCAGAAAATATATTTTAATTAGAAAAATTCAAAAACTGAAAACACATAAATAAATATTCATAAAGTAAAATTTTAAATTGTATATAATTCAAAAAAGAAAATTGAAAATTTATAATACGTAATTGACTTAAGGATAATATAATATAATGATATATATCTGTGAAGTTATTTTTCACCTCTGAACTCACACGTTAAATTAAATTTATATTTATATTTTATATAGTTAAACCTTAAGAAAATACTTGTTTGACAAAAATAAATTCAAATATATTGTATTATTATCTAAACTAATGTTATTCTTTCTGTAAGATCAATTTTTGAATGTAAATTTATTGTTTAAATTTTTCAAATTTTTTTTATCAATTAAGAAGAAATGAAATAGACTTTAAATTTTTCAAAGTTTCAAATGAAAAATTAGTTTGTAAATAACTTTATCATGTAAAAAAGTTTAATGTTTTAGGTCGAATTTTTTGGATGCAAATAATCATTTATTTTGATGTTTTTTTAAATTGATTTAA